TCCGCACCCAGCCAGGAGCCCGGGCCCCGGAGCCAGGTGAGGTGGCCGTGCCCCACGCCATGTCCGCCCAGGCCTCTGTCCCATGCACCTGTGCCTGCTGTGTCTCTGGGTGCGTTTTCCCGCGGGACAGTGCAGGTGCTGGTTCTCACCCGGGAGGACAGATGGACAGGTCTGAAGGAAGCTTATCACAGCCTTCGGTAGAGATGGGCGATACCCTGGGGCTGTGCACCCCTCTCAGAGAAAGTGCAGCCCTGTGTGGGACCCCGGCGCATTCCCAGCTCTGTCCATGCTGGTACGCAGAAATCCAGTCACCTATAGTCCAGCACCTGGGAGGCTGAGGCAGGAGGATCAAAAGTGTGAGTCCCACCTGGGCAACTTGGTGAGACTGTCTAAAAAGAAAGAAAGATGAGAAAAGATGGGGGAGCTGGAGATGTAGTTCAATGTAAAGGTCCTGGCTTCGATTCCCAGTATCAGGAAAGAAAAAAAAAAGTCACTTACCCACCAGGCCTAACTTCCTGGCACCACGAAAGGGAAAAAGTCAGACACATTCCCGGGCATACGGGATTTGTGAGACAGGACCTGGCAATGTGCAGGATGCACAGAACGAGAGGGACCCCCATCCACCCTCCCGTGCTGCTCCGTGTGACCCTCCTTCCCCCTGTGAACCTCCAGAGTCTCAGCGCCCCTGGGCCAGCTCTGTCGCACCCTCCAGGCCCCAGCCATGCCTCGGATACCTCTTCCCCCAACACCACGAAGATCCACTGGACCCCGTGAGTTACTACCCGAGGGCACCCATCCTGCATTGCGGTCCCTGCGGGCCGTGCTGAGCACCGACCCGTCTTGGCCTTGGAAACTCCTCCCAGGTGGTGCTTGTCCTTGCAGAGCTTCTAGAGCGGTGATGGCGAACCTTGTAGGGCTTCCAGTGGTACCGAGCTGGTTGGGCCACCACTGATCTAAGGGGTTTAAGTGCAGCGAGGAGTGCAATGGGAGGACCTTGAGACGGTCACAGGAAGTGGCAGCTCTTGGTTGAGCTTCAGCTTCCGGCCCAGTCTGGGGAAAGGGCAAGAATTCTGGCAGCCACAACTGCATCCACCACAGGTACCGGGCCATGTACCAGTACCGACCGCAGAATGAGGACGAGCTGGAGCTGCGTGCAGGGGACCGGGTGGATGTCATGCAGCAGTGTGACGATGGCTGGTTTGTGGGTATGTGGGGTGGGAGGGCAGTGGGGAGGGTGGAGGGGGTATCTCAGGGCCCCAGGGGCCTTTGGGTGGGCTGCTGCTGCCTGCCGGCCTCACCACGCCCACCCAGCTTCCCATCCGGTACTGGCTGCCTCCCCAAAGCCAGTCTTTCTGTTATGCCTTGACACATACCCTGCAGAGGGGCCTGGCCCAGGGTCATGATGGAGCCCTCCTGTGTCCCAGGACAGGACTCCTGCAGGGAAGCGCATGGTCCCGCACCTGGCGAGAGCAGCGAATAGCAAGAGATCTGGGCCCTTAGTGCTGGCCTGGGGCAGCCCAGGCACAGGAAGCCTTAGGTGGGTGCTGGCCTGGTTCAGGGTGACCCTCCGGCTTCACATGGCTGTTTCCCTGGTGGGTAGCCAGGTTCAGGCCTTGGCTTCACAGAAGGGCCCAAGATAGACGAGAGCAGCCAGAAGCCCTGCCCTTCAACAGGCAGACCTTAGGGCCCGAAGCGTTAGGGTGCTGGGCAGAGACGGTTCAGGGACACTCTTGATGTGGCATCTTGCCCTTCCTGATCTAAATCCCAATAGCTCAGGGCCAACCAAACTTTTTCTTTTTTTTGGAAAGATTTTATTTTATTTTTTTACCAGGGATCGAACTCAGGACCTTGGGTTTGCAAGACAGGCTGCAGAACCACTGAGCTAAATCCCGTGGCTCCACCCAAACTTCTTATACACAACTGATTTTTTTGGGGAGACAGGGTCCCATTGTGTAGCCCAGGCTGGCCTCAAACTTGTGGCAGTCTTCTGCCTCAGTCTCCCTAGTACTGGGATCACAGGCATGCAGTAACACGCCTAGCCACACAAGTGATTACTAAGCAGTAACATTAATAGTCCTTACTTCTAAAGGGATGGTGAAGGGCACATTCTAATATTACTCTGCACACTTTCGCTTTTGAATTCTTTTATGCTGCTGTTACAGTTTGCAAATCTCTACAGACTCTTGGGGTACAAGCCTCAGGCCCTCAGAGGCACGGTGTGCATCTGCACCCACAGAGAGGTAGCTGCTAGCCACACATAGCTGTTTCAATCTACATGAGTGAAAGAAAATGAAAAGCTCCACTCCTGTCACACAGCACAGCACACTTCAAGTGCCCACTGCACACGTGCAGTGGTCCTCAGTCTGGCCCGGGCAGGGCAGGGAGGGTACTTCCTGGAGGAAGTGGGCACTGGGCCCAGATGGGCAGGCCAGAGGAAGAGGGGGAACGAAGGACCCGGCATCAGCAAGGGCATCAGTGAGGGGCAGATGATGGGAGGAGACTCAGGGCATCAGCTCACCCCAGGCTCACTTCATCCCACACTCCTGGATTTCTAGCCTTTCCCTCCTCACAGGACACAGAGTCCTGACTCTCTACCCCTAAGCAGCAGTGCTTTTGGGCAATTTACCTGACCTTCTCTTAGGACCTTCCCCACCCTTACTTGGAATGAGAAATGTGTAAGGTTCCTCTTGGTAAAAGTTCTGTGATTCATCCTTCAGTGCTTCCTGGCTTTCATAAAGGAGGGTGGAGATGCAGGCGTGGTGGTGCACACCTAGAATCCTAGCACTCGGTAGGCTGAGGCAGGAGGATGGCTGTTCCAGGTCAGCCTTTGCTTACTACATAGTTCGTAGCCAGCCTAAACCGTGGTGCAAAGCTATAAAAGAAAGGAAAAAGAAGGAAGATGGAGTGATTCAGTGCTGTGTGCAAAGTTGTCCCATTTGCTGGTGGTTCTCACTTGATTTTGGAATTTGGGAGGCATAATTTTGCCTAGCTATGCTGCTGCCACCAGGGGGCAGGAATGAGGAAAGCAACTCAAGTGTCCCCTCCTGGGAACCAGCCCTTACCTGCAGTTCTAGGCCCTGCCAGCAGGCGGCGTCCCCTCACTTTCGTGGTTCAGGCTGTGTGGGAAATAGCTTTTCCTTGGTCTTTCCTCTTTCAGGTGTCTCCCGGAGGACCCAGAAGTTTGGGACATTCCCTGGAAATTATGTCGCCCCGGTGTGAGTGATCTCCATGGCAACTTGGAGCCAGCCAGGATGGAGTGGGGAGCAGTAACACATGGTGGGGGGAGGGCCTGCATCCTCCTCCCCCAAGACCGGCTGTCCGCATCTGTGGAGACGCCAGCAGCCTCCGTTCCGAGCCCCTTCGGAGTCCCCTGGATGGATTCCCACCCGCAACTCACAGGCATCTGACAGCCCCCGCCCCCAAATACAGAGGTCTGCTTTGAAGTGGAGACTGTTTCCAGGCCTCATTGAGACCAGACCCCGGTCCCCTTGTCACGCTCACAGGCACCGGCTCCCAGCGTCACCCCCATGGGGTTCCTCTAACTAGGACCAGCCTCCCGACCTGATGGAGACCAAAGGCCTCCTGTGCCTGGAGGGGCTGCCCCTCCCTCCCGCTTGCCTGCTGTCCCTTTGCCTTCTGGCCTCCAGCTGAGGTTGGGAGTGAGTGGGGACAGATGCAGCATCTTCGTAGCCCCCAGGGCCTCCTCTTCCCAGAGGCCACAAGGCCTGTTCCACAGGGTTCACGGGGAACCCAGATCTCACCCAGCAGCCCCACTCCTGGAAGAGAACAGAAAATAAACCTGGGTACCAGCGTTTGGCCTCTGAGTCCTCCTGCAGCTGCTGAGCACTGTGGGCTTCTTACTGCAGTGGCTGCACCAGTCAGGTCTGACGGGTTGTATGTGAGGGAGGCTGGGAAAGCCCCGTGGCGATCTCCGCCATGTCAGCCCTCGGGTGCAGGCAGCAGAGCAGCCCCCGGGATGGGGTAGCTGTCGGACCAGACGTGCTGAGTGGACGTCACAGGGCCAAGGAAAAACTAGAGCTGGGGGACCGAGTGTGGCCTTGTTCACAGGCTGTTTTGATTTTGGAGCTGCCACTGTGGGGTTGCTGGATTAGATGACATTTCTAACTATTCTGCTAATGTTTTCCTTCTGTGGGCTACGTTTCCACACCGAAGCTTGTGTGCCTGTTTATTTTCTTCTTTTGGCTCAAGTTTGAGCAATCGATTGCGGCAAGCTGGGAGTGGCAGGGCACAGTTAACCAAAACAGCTCTGCTCACCCGAAACTTTAGAGCTGCAGGTCTGGTGGCTTCTGGGGGACGTCGGTGATGGAGCAGTCTGGGCCTGGCTCCTCGTCCAAGATAGGAAAGCCCCATCCTTGGGCCGTGGTGGAGGGTTGGGAAGGAGGTAAGACACTACCCACGGGCTCCCTAACATGGGCATCGTGACCAGCTGCTTAGGATTCCTTTTGATAGGGAGAGCTCCAGGTCCTGAGAAAGTCTGTGTCTGAGTCACAGTTACTCAGAGCTGAAGTTGGTTCTGCCTCGCTGCCTGGATCAGCCCAGTGTCACACTGTGCTTGTCCAGAGGCCCCAAAGGAGGGTCAGTAGGAGGTCGGGGTGGCCCAGGGTAGGGTGCACTGACCTCCTGGCACTCCAGTCTTCACCTGTCTGTAAGGTGTCGCCACCCCAGGCAGGCGGGGAGACCAGTGTCTGCCATGAAGGGCAGTCCTAGTCCCATCAGGACAGAGGAGGGGCCGGCCGCAGGGTGGTGGCCTGGCCCTGGCAGGTTTCTTGAGCCTAGGTGGGCCCCAGCCCCAGTGGATGTTGAACAGTGGCTTGCAAAACAAGACCTGCATGTCCTGCTTCATCCACTCCCTCCACCCTGCTCACCTGGGCCTGGCCTATGGCGACAGGTCCAGCCCATCCTCACTGGCAGTGACCATTCATCAGGACCCACCGGCCTGCTTGTGAACCCTGTCCCAGCTCCATTCACATAAACAGCTTGGAGTTGAGGCTGCTTTTCCCTGGGCAGAAACAGTGCACACCCTGGCTTTGATGGGACCTGGGACCTCTCGGGCAGCAAACAAAACACTATGCCTGGGGCTGTCTGCCAGGCCCAGACTGTATGGTGACCACAGGGCCTTGGCCTGGCCTGGCCAGAGCCCCCTCGGGATGGCTTACCCTCCAGGGAGCTAAGGAGAGGGACTTGTACCCAGGGCACAATCACTTAGGGAGGGACATGTGTTGTGGAGGTCCCTTCTGGGTCATGGAAATGTGACCCGAGTCAGCTGATCTGCCTTTCTGGAGGTTTGGTAAATGCCCAGCTCACAGAGCAGGAAACCCTGCAGACACCTGGAGATGTTTTCATGTTCTAAGGCAGGAGGAGGCTGGCCTCTAAGGGCTACACAGCAGTTTCTGACACAGTGGGCACTCGAGTATTTGTGAAGTCCGATGTGAAATCCCAGCATTCAGGAGGCTGAGGCAGGAGAATCACAAGTTCAAGGCCAGCCTGGACTATGTAGAGAGACCCTGCCTCAAAAAAATCAAATAAAGATAAAATAATAAATACTTGTGGAATGCATATTGTTGGGATGTCTGGTTCTACACTTCTGCAATCCTGGTACTTTGCCTATGTGACAATGAGCGAGGGTAGCTATGCATTATACATGGGAAAATCAAGGCCCAGAAGAGCTGAGGAAACGGCCCAGGCTCGCACAGTGGGAGGCAGGTGTGGCATCTGTCAAGGTGCCTGTGGCTTTCTGCTCCCTCAAGGGTCTTCCGGGGCAGGGACGCAGCTCAGGTGTATGGCATGTGCTTGGTATGCACAAGGCCCTCGGTTCAGTTCCCGGCACCCCTGCCCAAAACAAGGCTGTAGAGCAGGTACAGCTGGTAGCCCTGGAGGGGGCTCTGGATTAGTCCCGGAGAGTGACCAGTGGTGTACACACCCAGGACCAGGGCTGCAGGAGGTGACCAGGAAGGGACAACCGGTGGAAGGTGTGGCCAGGAGGAGTTGCCGTAGCGAGGAGGGTGCTGAAGGCGCTCCTCCCCAGGGGACCTCGCCAGCAGTGACTCACACCTGAGGCAGGCGAGTTACAGCTGGGTCCACAGGTGTGTGCCAAGTCAGGAGACACGGGAGGCAGCTGGCCAGGCCCTGAGCTCCCCAGGTGAGGTTGCCAGGTATGGCTCTGGGGAACCACTGGGCACCTGGGCCCCCTGCCCAGGGGTCCTTCCTGATTCCGGAGCCTGTGTACCACGTGGCTGGGGAGGGGCAGCCCAGGCCACTGGCATGGTGCGGCTTCCCCCCTGGTGCACTCCAGGCAGAGTGGCCTGCAGCCAGGCATCACCTTTGCCCTGGGCCGCAGGACTTACCCGGAGAACTGCTGGCGGGCATCAGGCAGGGGCGCTGGGCCTTGCCAAGACAGCCACCGACTGGCCTCGGGACAGGGATGAGG